AATGCCACATGGTTCGGTAGGGATCAGCCCTGCTGACCAAAAAGGTGGTCTGGTTCCCTCACTGGTCTATCTCCCTTTTCGACCCAGGAACGTTTGCCCAAAGGCTGGCTGGCTGGCTGGCTGGCTGGCTGGCGGGCCAAAAAAAAAAAAAAAAAAAGCCTGGCTGGCTTCTGCTTGCATGCATTCGCTCCGTTGCATCGGCTCTTTTCTTCCTATGGTGGACTACGACGAATAGGTTCGGTCGGTTGTACCTGGCAAGCCAGGCTCCGACGAAACGCCTCGTACGGCTGTCGTATGCAGCCAGTATGTACGTGGGTAGGTAATATAGGTTTAAGGCACGAGAGACGAATAGAGGCTCTCGCAGCTCGCAGAGTCAAGTCGTAATAATCTCCCGTGCATATCTTTTGCCCTTATCGTTCAAACCCGGTCAGGCACGCTGGCCAATGACTGCCGGCAAGAACACATCAGAACCCTTCCCCCCCAGCTGTCGTAATCGTCTCCGATGATGCCTTCGTGCATGTCTTTAAATCACCTGGGACCGCGGAATGAGGCGTCACCTGACGACGATACGGAGAGGGAAAATGATAACAAAACTGCAGTCTGTTTGCTCTGCAGAATACTAACCTAGTTGCTGAATGGGCGAACGCCCCTCCCTGCCAGCCTACATACCCGCCTTTTTTTCTTCAACCATATCAAACTGCAGCGCATGTGATGTTCACCCAGAGCGGATCCACGAGAAAAATCGGTCACTGCGGCGAATGGTGTTCCGCACTCATCAATCCCATCCGGCCACCCACTAGTAAATTTCCGTACCCATCGAACAAGGGAATTTGCTTGTTGCTTTTTGCCCTTCTCGGCAGCGTTCGTGTTCAACGTCAGTCTAATAATAAAAGTATAGTTCTCAATTGAGCAATATCCAATTCGTACTGTTGCGTGCTTCACGTTGGAATTCCCTCTCGACAACAATGCATAGTGGTTCCCTCCTGTCGGCAAACAAGTCCGCACATGGCCCTTGTTTATCTATGATGGGACCGAAGGACATGGCGGGGCGTCATCATCACATCCCCAACATATCCATTGCGTGCGGCACAGGGCAGGAGGCTGAGGGAGGTATATGCTGTAATGGTCTGTAGTATTTGCCGTAGTAGTTGTACGAAATAAACAGCACAGGCTGTATGTAGGTAGGTAGGTAGGTACGGTACGTACGTGGTCAAAGTGCCAGAGAGTTCAGTCAGCAGACCTGGCGTCATTTCCAGTACGAAGAACCCCCCCGGCAAGCCATCAAACAATACGGTGTCACTAAAAAAGCTGAAGCCCGGGATAGTTGTCAGCTTGGGGGGGTGTTGGAATAGCAAAACCGAGAAGAAAAAAAAATTCAGGTTCTGATCAACAGGACTGACAGGGCGCCTCTTCTTGGCCTTCTAGAAGTTCCTTAGGGCAGAGACTACTGCTTAGTTCGTCCAGGAGAATGGAGAATTCCCCTGAATCCGCTCGGTTGAGGTCAATGTCAGGACCCCCGGGAGGCTCTCGCTGTGGGACCCTGTTATCCCGTACCCACATCTAGGACCCAAAATCATCTCGCCCACGCCGTAATAGTGGCACCGGTACCCTATCACATACGTATGTGATGATGGGCTGGTACCTTACCTACCTCTCTTTCTTGCTTTGCTTGGCTCTTCTTTCCTCAGTACCATGAGCAATGGCTTTGAGCGATAGCCTTGCTCGCTCGTCATCATTGTCAACAACAACGGTATGTACGCGTGCCTTGAGAAATTCAAACCTTGTCCAGGCAAGGTACAATAGCCATGTACCTGCTCGGCATTGATCAATGGCTTTCCCTGATGTCTTTTTTTTCCTTAAACGCCCAGCTTTACGAATAGCTCCACTCATCTATCTTCCTGGGCTGCCAGTCGTTCGCTCTCTCTCGCTTTCTGTGTGTAACCTGGAACCATTTGGGACGCGCCGCTCAGTTGGGCGCGGAGTCTACCCGGACCATCAGCGCCAGCGCCTAGTATAAACTTCTAATTTCGCCATTCAGCCATGTCATTGGTAGGGGGATCACTTCCGTCGAGGCCGCCAAGTCCCCAGTCCACAAAACGAGTAGTCCAAGGTGGTTGCACCATGGACGGAGCGCCTGGATAGCATGGAGCCAGGCGGCGAACCGCATTGTCTTGACGCGCACCGCAAGATTGGACTCACTCTACTTGAACGGGCCTGACTGGATTGGGGGTGGGAGAGGCTTGTTGGCTTTTGGCGGCTCTCTTTTCCTGTCTGTCCCTCCAGCTCAGGTCTGTCACAGCTGAAAGCAAAAGTCAGCCGGCTACCCAAGCTCCCTCTGGGATGCCGCCGCCGAACGACCCGTCGACGGCTCTGCCTATCTGCTACAGCCTACCTAAACTGCATACGTACTGTACTAGGAAGTGTCCTCACTAGTAGGTCAAGAAAAAAAAAAATTAGGTACTGGATATTGCTCTACTTGTTCCCCAACCTAATGCCACGACACATGGTAGCCCACCACATCTCAAGTCCCTTCAAGTGTCCATGTTCACTCTATACACTACTTTGTGGGCAGCGGGGAAATCTACTACCCACACGACAGCTACACAACACTACGTACCGCAATAGTGCAGCTATGTCACCAACTTGTTCGTCGCCTCGTGGAGACCCGTTCTGGTTGACTTGCGGCAACGGTGGCAGGCCATGATTGTTTCGGCGAGAACGAGGGTCCAGGTGGGAGATGCAAGGATGCGTCCCATTCCCACTCTACGCTTGCATTGCATTGCACATGGCTCCAACAGAAACCCCCCGGCCTGGAGGATTAGACTCGCAAAGACGGCTCTCCGGCTTCCCAGATTGTCGGATACCACACAATGTACTACATGCCCTTTCCGCTGCCAACATTACTGTAGTGTAGAATGTACGATGGTAGGGTATTCGATGGCTTGTTTCTGTTTTTCCTCCGGTACATATGCCCTGCTCTCTACATACTACCTGGCTTTGTCCATCCAGCCAGAGAGAGGTACCACAAACCCTACATACACTCACAGCCTGACACTTTACTCATAATACCCCGATATTATATACAAACCTACTTACTGATACCTAGTAGTAGTTTGACCGTCAGCTCACACTGGACTAGTACGGCTGGTACAACCTACCTACCTGCCTACATCCACAACTACCACACTCACTACCTATATCACAGGCTACAACCAAAACGTTACCATTAATTCCTTGTAATTGTTGCTTCCCGATTACCCACCTATAATGGCAACACCCGACTCGTTTTTGTGTGACGCCGATGCTGTCCAACTCCCCACGCCGCCCGCCCACCCGGTCAACAGGCAACCTCTACTCTCGGCAGTGCCTCACGAGCCCTTCCGATGGACGAGTCACATCTGTCCAAGTCATGATATCGTGGAGAAGGATGACTGCATCAACACAGTTTCTCACCTTCTCTTTCCTGCGCCTGCCTTCCTCACCGCCTCAGACAGAGAGCGCTGTGCTTTTTTTTTTCCTCTTCCTGTTCGCTCGCTCAGATCCTCGGCAGCAAGGCCTGCTCCACTGTCTGGCAACAACGCTGGGCGGCAACCCAATTAGTATCGGGACCATCCAAGCTTCATTTCTGATGCTGCCATCATAGAGTACGTACATGGCACTACTACTACTACATACGTACCTACATGCTAGCTAGAGTAGTGTAGAGGAAAAACTTTCCCCTAAACCCAAGTGGGCAACGACAAGGGGGCCATGCTTTTTTTTCTTCCCTTCATGTTCTTCGTCTCTTTGATCTCATAGAAGTACTACGTACCCCCCCCCCCATTATTTCTTTTCTTGGTTCCTTTTCAAAAGAGCCCCCCGGTTCCATGCAAGTCGTTGGCGGCCCTAGTCAATTGCCGGAGTTCATCAGTTCAACAGGGATCCCCCCAAATCTGTAAGCTTCTCACTTTTTGTGAGTGTGTGTGAGAGAGGGAGGGAAAATAGCGAGAAAGAAAGAGGAGAGACATCATGTAGAACCAAATATTCTTTAGTTGACCATGTACAGTACTTGGAACCTTGCTCCCTCCTCCCCTGGTCCAAGCCAGTACTTTTTTTTTTTTTTTTTTTTTTTTTCCCTCGTCGTCGTTCCTTGCTAACCTTGTACCTCTGGCTCAGGCTGGTCAAACGGCAATACAATCAATCAATGGGCTCCTCGATGGATTGCATAGCCTTCCGCTTCCCAGGTACAGGACAGCAGGGCGGTACATACACTCATTCTATCGACTGATTATTCTCAGGCTCAACCTCACATCCGTGGGTATAGCTCCACATGATCCATGTTCTCAGTCCAACCTCACGGGTCTTCTCCAAGATGTCTCCATACACCCTTTCGACACTACCACCGCACAAGCCGGGAGACCGGGCGTCGTGGGAGGGATCGACCGTTACAAGTCACCCTCGCTTGCTTTTCGTCTTGGATCCAGTCACCGCTGGTTCAATCTTAAAAAGTGATTAATATCCTCGTGCCGCCCCTTAGCTAGTAGAATAGTTCTGCCCTACGGAACATTCCCTTTATTGCATCACAACCTATCTATCCTAGTCACCCCCAATTCGGTTTCGGGCGAGGGAAGTAACTTAAAAGGACTTTACACTTCACCCTCAACTTCACCCTCTCTGCTCCCACTCTTGTTACTTCACCTGATTTTTTTTTTTCATTTTGCTTGAGTGGTTCTCATATGACCTATTCATAACCCTTCCCAACGACTTTGAACTTGACCGCACCACATCTGGCCATTTAAGGTTCCGTAACGGCAGGACCAGAGGTAGTTTTCCCAAGAGAGCAACACAAGACGTCAACATCGACCCACTTCAGAGAACCCCTGGGGACTTTATAACGCCTTTATATCGAGCCCAGTAACGGCTATTACTGCTTCTGGGATCATCAACTCTATGTCAATTCAGCCTCCAGGCACACAAATACAACAATGAGAAGCCAATTCAGAAGAACAAGCATCGCAGAGATGGATCCGACACAACCAAAAACTCCATTCCCAACTAGGCAGATGTTGGTACTGGCAATATGTCGAATCTGCGAGCCCATTGCTTTCATGGGCATCTTTCCATACATTTACTTTATGATCAAGGATTTCCACATGACCGACGACGACAGCAAGATCTCCCTCTACGCCGGCATGGTGACGGCCGCCTTCACCTTTGCCGAGTTTTCCACCGGTGTCCTATGGGGTCGACTCAGCGATAAGATTGGCAGGAAGCCGGTCCTGCTCACCGGACTCTTGGGCACCGCCATCAGCGTCCTCATTTTCGGATTTTCTCCTAACCTGTACGTTGCCCTCGCAGCAAGAGCAGTAGGAGGACTTCTCAACGGAAACATGGGAGTGCTTCAGTCGACCATTGCAGAGCTCGTCACCGACAAGGCTCACCAACCACGTGCTTACACCATCATGCCGGTCGTGTGGTGTCTGGGATCGATTGTGGGACCTATGATTGGAGGTGCTCTGGCCAAGCCCTGCGAGCTTTATCCAGGAGTGTTCAGCGAGGGTTCAATCTGGGATAAGTTCCCCTACCTCTTGCCGAACCTCTTCAGCGCCATGATCTGTATCATTGGTGTTGTCAATGGAATTCTGTTCCTGGAGGAAACTCACTCCGGAAAGAAGCAGCAGAAGGACCGTGGAGTTGAGTTGGGCAAGTGGATCCTGTCGAAGCTCTCGTGGTCTTCCGCGCAGAGTGAGTCTGAGGAGGGAGCCTCGAGCCAGAGCAAGTATGACGAGTGGTCTTCCGAGAGCCAACCTCTTCTGAGCGAGCAGTTGCCTGGCTACAGGACATCGGAGAACTCACCTGAAAACTCGCCCCGGATTGCTTCTTCGGATGTTGTGGAAGAGCCACGAGAGCCGCTGGATCTCGCTACTGGCTTCCATCCCAACTCGAAGATTTTCACCAGGGCCGTTGTGCTAAACGTTATCGCGTTCGGCATCCTGGCATTGTAAGTTGCCCGATACTTGAACTCAAGTTGGAGCGTAATTCTGACCAATTTTGCCAGCCACACCATGACATACGACTCCTTGTTTCCCGTATTCTTGAGCACGCCGCACTCTGAGAACCCCACCGTGAGACTGCCTTTCAAGTTCTCCGATGGCCTCAACATGCCGCAGCAAGAAATCGGCATCATCCTCAGCGCGCAGGGTATTTACTCACTGCTTGTCAACATGCTTGTGGTCCCCTGGGCGATCCAGCGATTTGGTCCCCTCCGTCTGTTCCGCTTCCTTGCAGTCTCGTACTGCCTGCTGTACATTCTTACTCCCTATGTCGTCCTTCTCCCGGATTCACTTCAGACCGCGGGCATCTATGTACTTCTGGTGTGGAAGTGTACATTCTCGAGCATGTCGTTCCCCAGCAACGCCATTCTCACAGTCAACTACGCCCCCAGCAAGCTCGTCATGGGCAGCATCAACGGCGTGGCGGCATCGACGGCCAGTCTCTCCCGCGCTTTCGGACCGATTGTGTCGGGTATGCTATACTCGGTCGGTCTGCGAACTGGCTACTCTGGCCTCGCCTGGTGGTTCAGTGCCCTGGTGGCCGTCATCGGTGGCGTCGTGGCCATGTCCATCCCGGAGCAGCCAACCATGTGCGAAAAGAGCGCCGATGACCTGGAAGCTCAGGCCTCTTGAGCAAACAGCAATAACAACAACAACAACAGTATTTTTTTTGACGACAACGCTACACGATATGTAGTGCAGATGAGGGCGCCAATCGAAACGGAAACACCTACACATATTTGATTTAATTTGTTTTTTTCTTGTTTTTTTTTTTCTTTTTCATATTTTCCATCAAGCGGGCAGCAAGGCAAGCGACATTCGTATTTAGACATCAGACACGCGCGGCATACCGGGATCGGGCAGAGACAGAGACAGAGTCGAAGAAAGACCGAGAGTGCTTCTTGGCTAAGAAATGGAGTTTTTTGTACGGGTATTATGGTCAGATAAAAAGAGAGGGAAATGATCTCTAAGGCGTTGGGAAATTCGGGGGACTTTTTTCTTGATTCTTTTTTTTTTCAATTTTGGGGAATTTGGCAGCTCGGGTCCTGGAACGGGAGGTAACTCTCACCGAGCTTTTCGAGATACCACGGGAGGAACACAACAACATCATTGCGACGGGGCATAACACAAGAGTACGGAAGAGCGAGCCATTTCTATATGTTTTTTTGACATTGGAGTGGTGGATTTCATTGCATTGGAGTGGCGCTATTATTATTATTTTTAACATTTCACATCCGCTTTGTCGACTGGCTTGCAAGTAGGTGCTTGCGTCGCGCGGGTTTCTTCTTTTTCATCAGGACTCAAGTCGGCGCTTTTGACCGGCTTGAGATGGATTATTACAACATAGCTTTTTTGATATCAGAATACGATTCCCAGGTGGTTATCTACATCAAATACTCTTGTTCTCGCTTCGCTACCTGGTGATATGACCACATGTTCCTGATCCGATGGCTAGATCAGACGGTGTATACATACATTTCTTTGTATATGAATTCTAGAAGCGTATCACTCAAATGAATAAATGGTTGAAACGGCGTCATACATGAAAAAAATACGTAGACTGGCCGGACCGTCACCAAAAATGGTCTTGAGAATTTACACACTCTCACATAAGATTGCGTCTCAGCTGGCGCCTTCTAAGCTTCTTCAGAAAAGATTTCACAGACAAGTCAGCCCATTGGTGAAATCACTCTTTTCTATGAATCGCAAAGACAAAAATTCAAAGTCGTGACTGCAGAATTGCTTCGTGGTGCTGATGTTTAAAAAATGTAGTATTGATGTTGGTACCTGGGTGTTTAGATAGGTACATACTACTACTACCAAGCCCATCCTTCTGATCGAGCTGCTTGCTGATGGCGATCGCCAAGACATGGAGCGTGGGGTCAAACTGTGAAGGTTGGGATCATGTTTTTGGGGGTGGCCTTTTCCCATTTCCCCGGTGTCGGGAATCGAACTTGTATATGCTTCTCAGACCAGAACCAAAAGACCCTGACTTTGGAGCAGCGCTTGCTTACCTCCTCGTGAAAAAACTGTTGCAACGTTATTAAAGAGGGAGAACTGCCCAGTGAAAGCCAAGGCAGTCTGGTTACCTCGATGTAGGTACATTGTAGAAAAGGGCAGCCTTTTTCTTAGAGTCGCCCCCCCGCCATTCCTCTCATTCCACCAATTCTTTAGCACTATGCCCATTCAGTCGAGAACCCGTGGAGTTGCCGGCTCATGATTCGTCAGCTGAGCTCTTATCAATACGACAGCCAATGGCTCAGAAAATTATTTGATTTGCTTTTTTTCACTGGGTCATTGCTTATCGTGGCCGCGGCTTACCAAGAAATCCCAGAAGGGACAAGAAAAAAAATAACCAACATGAAATACATAGTAGAAACATCACTATCGCCAATCTCTCTCTTCCACACCGACCCGGTCATAACTCGGTGAGCCAAATCTTGAATTAGCTTTGGTTTTCTTCCACTAGGTAGGACCAAGCATACAAGCAAGTTGATCTACCTAGTTTAGAATCCTCACTACTAGATTCTCTTTTATCTTTTTTTTTCCCCTTCAATTCTTTTTTAAGATTTATCGAGCTCATCATTCAAAAACACAATCCGAATTGACTAAGAGCTGCACTAACTTAACCTACTGCTGCGTACTACCTACAATACCGACGACACTCGCTCGCTACATTACCCTACAGTGCTATCAAGGCATCCCTTCCAGAGCCTTGCTTGCTTCACCTTGGACCTTCCAGCCTTCTCTCTTCCCCGCAATAACGCCAATAGCAATCTATCCCAGCACGCCAGTTCTAATGATCCGAAACTTTTAACCATCATTCCCCTGAGCCGCAAATACAGCCAGCTATTTGACCACGGACTGTCGTTGCGAGATTGATTGGGAATGGGGCAGCAGCAGCAGACAAGCGGCTCGGAAACATAACCCAGATCTTAGACACCTTCTATCGCATCGGGGGCAGCTTGGCGCATCCATCCCGCCTTCAACGCTCTTGAAAGCCAACCCCCAAAGCTTTTTTTCCGTCCCAAGGCGCGACGCGCAGCCACGCACAGTAGGATATACACCCAACTACGCGAAAAACAACAACATTGTCGTCATCGAGGACGGGGAGAGGGGAGTGTGAGTGATACTCTGCGCCAGAGACACCATGTCGGCGCACTCTCCGCCCACGCCGCTTCCGCACCCGCACCCCCCCAAGCGCGCCCGACAGTCTTCTCCCGAGCGTGACTCGCCAAATTCGGGCCCTTCAGCCGCCGGCGCAACCTCGCCCAACACCGTTGAGACGCCAATCGACGGCTCCGGAGCCCAGGGCTCATCCAAGGTTGGCCAGAGCAGCAATTTCCGCAACGTAAGCGCCTGCAATCGGTGTCGTTTGCGGAAGAACCGATGCGATCAGAACCTGCCGAGTTGCGTCAGCTGCGAAAAGGCAAAGGTCGCATGCGTGGGCTACGATCCAATCACCAAGAAGGAGATTCCTCGAAGCTATGTCTACTACCTCGAGACCAGAGTAGGCCAGCTCGAAGCTTTGCTCAAGGCCAACAATATCCAATTTCCGCCCGCCGAGAACCTAGAGTACTGTTCACGGGCTGGCGCAGAAGGCGCAGCCGATAACGCGCCCAAGGACAGCAGCCACCACTCACCGAGCGTTGCGAACCGACCCGGGCCTTCGAGGTCGCATCACAATGGAGACGAGCAGGCCAGGTCGAATAAGGGCGCCAGACCGGGCCCGGGCTCCGGAGGCAGGTCCCTCGGCTCGACCAATGGAATTTCCTTTGCTCGCGTCGTCTATGCTGCCGTACAGTCGACCGTCAGCGACCACAAGTCGCATTCCGAAAGGGGCGGCGTGAAGCCTTATACCAAGTCAACGACCAGCAACAGCGCCGCTGCCTCGGGGACGTCGATGCGGGATTCCTTCTTTGGACTGCATACAAAGCCCACCATCAACCCGGCTGAATTCCCCGACAAGGACCGGGCGTTGCACCTAGTCAACATTTATTTCGAGCATGCCAACCCACAAATACCGGTCTTGCATCGCGTCGAGTTTATGCAAATGTTTGAGCTGGCATACGCGACCGAAGGCAGGATACGTGGGCCCAGAGAGCTGTACATGCTCAACATGGTCTTTGCCATTGGAAAGGGCATCTTTCAGACGGCATCTTCAAAGAATTCCGAAGGGCCGCGCTCGTCAAAGGAGACACAGCCAGAGGAATATCATGCCAGCGCCATTGTGCACTTGGAGGCTTGCCTCAGTAGCAGTGGCGGCGGGCTTGAAGAGCTACAAGCCGTGCTTTTGCTGGCCAACTTTGCCTTGCTCCGTCCGGTTCCACCTGGATTATGGTAAGCCAACCTTGCAATCTACATCTTTCCACTTCTTCATCCCTGACTTTTTGAAAACAGGTACATTGTTGGCGTGGCTGTACGTCTTGCCGTTGACTTGGGATTGTATCTCGAGGACGGCAAAGAGCTACCCAGTCTCCCCGATGCTGATCCGACCGTGGATCCTCAGCTACAAGACGCGCACATTAGACAGAGAGGCAGACGCGAGTACGTGCGCGACTTGCGAAGACGGCTCTGGTGGAGTACCTATTCGTTGGATAGACTGGTCAGCACCTGTGTCGGCAGACCGGTTGGCGTCTCTGATCAAGTAGTCACGACTGAATTTCCCACCCTTCTCGAAGACCGGTACATCACCCCATCTGGTTTTACTAGGCAAAATCCGCCAAATGAGCCAACTTACAAGGTCGTGGCCTATCATTACTTCCGATTGCGTCTTCTCCAGTCCGAAATCTTGCAAGTTCTACAGTTTCAGCAGACGCAACTAGCGAGAGCAGGCGGACAGAATCGGCACAATGCATATATACACACACAGCTGCCGTCTCCATTCCTGAGCAGGTTTGATTCCTTTAGGTCTTGGCGGATGGACATTGATAGACGTTTATACGACTGGAAGAACTCGGCACCAACGCAAGAGGAATCTGGGGTAGAGTTTTCGACCGAATTCTTTGATCTCAATTATTGGCAGGCGGTCATACTCCTTTACCGGCAGAGCCTGGAAGTGCCCGAGATGTTCGAGGCCGAATACAACACTTCGAAGGAAGTGAACAGCCCCTCTCTGTACCCTCCCGAAACGACAGGAGACGAGGAGCGGGTGTACATGAAGGTTGCTGAAGCCGGGCAGAAAATCATTCGCATCTACAGACAACTCCATGTTGTGGGCTTGGTAAACTTTACCTATCTGGCCACACATCATTTGTTCATGGCTGGAATTTCGTACCTATATGCCATTTGGCATTCCCCGTTGGTGCGAAGCCGCCTGGTGAGTAATTTACTTGGAGCAGAAAGTGCTTGGAAAGTTTCCTGAGCTAATAGCAATGCAGAGCATGGACGAAGTTGATTTCACAATACTAGCAGCTACATCAGTATTTACTGATCTTATCGAAAAATGTCCACCAGCAGAGGCCTGCAGAGATGCTTTTGAACGTACAGCCAAGGCAACGGTTAAAATGTCAAAGCAGACTGGCGGGTTCGGACAGGCGCCGGTGAGAGCGAATTCCGGAAGAGGAAATCATGACTACCTGTCGGCACGCGATGCCTCGGCCAATCGTCAGCGACATCAACCAAGGTTATCCATGGATCAAACCGGGCCACGAGCGCCGCACTCGACGTATGACATGAGCGGCGGCGACGGCTTTGCAATGAATCGTCGCTCGAGCCACGTGCCACCAATTCAGACGGGTCCTTTTGCGCTCTCCATGCCGAATATCAAGACGGAGAGGGATGGTTATTCAATGGTACGCGGAATGCCTGGGTCGAGACCAAACGTAGGTGGCCTTCAGGAGGAGCCCGATACTTCGGCCATTGATCCGTCATTGCTCCCTTCACCCAGCGCCGCCCAACAGGCGGGGCAATCTCCCATTTCGGTCAACAGCTTGACACCAGCCTCAGGCAACGCTGCCGGATCGAACGTCAATTACATGCGGTCACCGACGGCAATGAACACACCAGGGCAGCTCAGCTATTCGGGGTTGCAAGAGATGGAATTCCTACAAGGGTTGCAGAACAATGCAGGTATGGAAGACCAATTATCTGGTGAAGGACAATTGGACCTTAGCGGGCTTGGATTTGGATTCGAGGGCATGCATCATGATTTTAACGATGGTCAACAAGTCGATCTACTGGATGGGTTTTGGTTTGGCGGGCAACAGAATGGCGGGGGTGGGGCGGGTATGCCATAGGCTCAATGGCACATGGGGATGTCGAAAGGGAAAAGGAAAAAAGAGTTGAGACTCGACTCAATATCAGACACACACACAAACACACAAATAGCTGACAGGAAAGTCACTAACCTCTTGGCAATCGAGAGTCAAGCAAGCCAGACATGATTTGTTGACTGCAGGGAGGCCAGCAGCAGCAGCAGTGTCACATGAACATCAAAACGATGGGGTCTTTTTATATTATATAGCCATGACTGCTGCGGAACATGATACCCATTTTCTGGCAATTGCTACAGTTACCCATTCGAAACAAGGAACACTTGATATATAGCCCATCGATGGGGTCGCATGTGTCTTGGGTTTGGAGGGCGGATGGGATGAGACAATTATTCTCGTTGTCGAATCGCACTACGTGCTTGCCGTTGCCATGGTGGCGGCGCCGGGCCCCATCTCAGAACCAGAACCAGAACCAGAATCGACGCTAGGCAGGTACCTAGATCATAGTTGACTAGAAGATAGATCTCGTTGATGCGGTACGCTAATGAGTGTCCTCGTGTGTATCTAGATACCTGACAGCCCAACGGTTGTACGAGAAATCGAGTAGCAGAAGGATCAATGAGCTCGCAGTTTCAGTTGTGGACGATTGAATAGAGACTGATGTCGGAGATTCCTTGACAAGAATGCCGATTCTTTGCCTTGTAAGGCATTTAAACTACACGACAAGCTTTCTGATCAAGAAGAATGACAGCGCCGCCAGTTGTGCTGCACAAGACGAAAAACAGGCTGTCTGGCTGGGCGCTAAGGCACTCAATTCGGGTTTGGTGTCAAGCGGGATCTTCCCGAAGCAAGCAAGTTCAGAGAGCGGGTTCATGTCAATGTCCATGTCCCATCCATTCTCCATGTCTCTCCAACCACCTCTAAAAAAAAAAATCCCATGGTTGTAAGGAGGGGTGAAAGCAACCTTTTATTTTCTCAGTACCTACCTACATTATCTTATGACTTCATGCCAAAACAAAGCCAATTCGAAACTGCGAATCCACCAATCGAGCCATGTCGTTGTGAATTGCCTCCATTCGCTCTCTTTACCGAGTTCTTGTGTGATGGACTATATATAATTCATTCTTTGTATACGTACCTACCTACTCTTTTTTTGAGATTCGGCATCGTTCTAGTCCCACCCGCATCGATCTGATCGTCAAACCCCAGGTTTGGCTCGACCTACCTACCTATTTACTTGCTGGGAAAGTTGATTTTAACCCCCCTCCCTCGCGCCTCGATTGGAGATAGATCCCGGCGCGCTCTTCCCGGCAGACGCTCGCTTGCATTACATCCCTGGTTTAATCATAAGCGAGAAGAGGAACCGGGTTTGCCTGCAGCTCATTCTTTCCCATTAACCCAGTTGGTTGTTGATTCTTTTGGTCGGCGAATCATCTGCCGCTGGTCAACGTAAGAGCACGGCACCCCCCTTCGACTCGTCGGCGCGCGCGGGCAAGGCGCGAACAACGGAAATCCTGCGCAAAGCATCATCATCCTATGGGATTTTCTCTCGTCTCGTCTTACCAAACTCCTCAAGGCGGCAACCCTTTATGTTGTTGTTGTTGTTGATCTGCGCCTGTCCTTTTCACCACGTCGTTTTTGGGGAACGAATGTATACTTGATCAATCAACAGCAGCAACGTTAATTGGGAGATCCAAAGCTTCCAATACGCAGGCGCATTCGCTCTTCCCTGCCAGATTATACCTCGGGGCCCGCGATGGCGCCCGTCATAACATCTCCGCGCAGCCTTGCGCGCGATGCAATTCCAAATTCCTTCGACCACCACATGCGCTCGTCGCCCTTTGCCACGGCGAGGCGACAATCGGAACCGCTATCGACATGGTCATCGCGCACCATGATTGCCCGCAGCGCAGCCGCTGTCGCCCCTCGGTCACCGTCCTCACAACACCACCATAACAACCATTACTACCGTGATCTCACACCGAGACTTGATGACAATGCCGACATTGTGCCCGAGACATACGGCGCGCCCTCGGGCCCCAACGCCGGCACCGTCGTGGGCATCGTGCTGGGGTCCGTAGGCGGATTCTTGCTACTGCTCTGGCTCATTTACTCCATCGCCAACCTGGGCAACGGGCCCCCGGCCGTGCTTGAGACGGCGTCAGTGGGCGGTACGGAATCGGTGGTGACGCGCAAGTCGCGAAGGCGGCAGAACCGCAGCCATCGACGGGGCTCGGCGTCGGTGCGCGATCGCCGCGAGACGGTCGAGGTCCGGAGAACCGAGCGCGTGGTCCCGGTACCCCCGGTGACCACGGAGCGCATCATTGTCGAGGAGCGCAGCCGGAGTCGCCAGCCCATGCCCGGACCGCCTCCGCCTGCACCCCCTCCGCCCATGGCCCCGCCGCCGCGTGTGGTGCATGACGACAGCGACGACGAGGTCGTGGTGATTGAGGAGAACTCGCCGCCGCGTCGGCGCGATAGTCGGCATCACCACCGGCGGCAGAGCAGTCGGCGGAGCAGTGAGCGCAGAAGGAGTAGTGGATATCGGGACATTGACCCGTATCGATTTGCAGGCGGTGATGCGTCCATCCGGAGTGTGAGTCGGCGGAGGAGTTACTCCAGGGATCGGTGATGAATAAGCAAAAGAGGTTCCCCTACATGATCATGCAGGATACCAACAGGAATCACGTTGTCCACTGCCTGGTGGGCCTTGGGCAAAGCGATGGAATACAAGAGGTGCAGTTGGGTTGGGGGAGAGTAGCCGCATAAAACGCAAGCGGAATTTTTAATGATTGATGTTTCTTTGGTTAACATTCATGGAGGACAGATGGGCATTGGGGGAAAAAACGACCAGACAAATGATATCCTACGAACAACGTGGAGGCAAAGAGGAGCTTGGACAAGAATCCCAAGCCACACCCATATCTGGACGTGCGGCATACTTATGGGATGGATTTGAAGAGCAATTTAGGGACCAGTAAGATATGTGGTGTATCGAGGGGCATATAGTTTTGTGTGGCGGTCGGGTAATTCTGTATGCATGTCTGTATATATACAGTTGGTGGCAGAGCGGGATTCTTGGTTTTGAGATATATACCTTTATCACTTAAAAAAGAACGAAATTCCAATGGATATTATATAACGCTCCTCGGAGTATCATGTGCGGAAACGCGTGCAATGCCATACTATATAGCCCAACTTTTGAACACTGATGAAAACTGGGCTCCTCCAACGGCGACTTCTACAAAATTATGCACAAGCAAATGTGGCAGGCTGGGGGAGTAGGGAAATCAAAGGGAAAGACTCCGACAAGTGTAGGATGTGATGATGCAAATGCAATCAATGCCGACATGATCATTAGACTAACATTTACCTGCAACCGTTGTACGCTCAACAAAACCTGCAGATGCCTTTCCCTGCATAACTGCAATCAATGAGGAGGAGCAAAGCTACATGTCTCCTCGGTATCAATGAAATGTGAACGGCCAAACGACGATACAGCAAGTAACTCGGCGGCCCGGGCATGAGAATGGTGCCGAATTGCAACTGAACTGCATGACGTATTATGCTAGTGTTTAGGTTTTATCGGCTCGTTGAACAGATTGCACTCCAATTGAGAGGGGGGTTGATAATTTATATCTATTTTCTCCATGAATGACGCGTGTTGGAAAAGTATCGAATATCCAAGACGTAGGTTGGATAATGAGCCGCCGAATGAGTACATTCGATGCAAATAGCTAAAGCATCTACGACCTGACATCGTACTACTACTACTACAGCATGATATTGTTGAGGTCTGCGAGGTCTGTCCTAGTCGTCGCCGGGTTGCGCGGAACATCACATCAAGGTATAACAATGCTGCTGCTCAACCCCTCGGCGTAGGGTGAAAGTGGATCTAGAGTCAGTCTCACATGTCAGACAGATCTGGTACCTGTCCCCTAACCTGACCTGGGCTCCGGCAACCAATAAGCCCGCAATGGGTAGAGCAATGGAGCTTTGACAGACCTGACTGACTGACCCCTGTCCGAGCTGTCAAGCAAAACACCTCTTAGTACGCAAATGACATCACCAGCTTCTTCCCCATGCCCACTGGCTCGTCTGTTTTTATCAAAGTAAAAGAACCGGAGCATCACCACCGCGGATCTTGCCGGGGGAAAACCGATGCGTCTCATAAGAAGCTCGTCATTACCACAATCCCGTCAAAAGCTTTTATTGTACACTTTTCTCTCTTGCATTGTACAATTGCACACGCTTACGATATTGAATCTTTTTTTTTTCCTCGTCCAGATTATTGGCCGTTCTTCGGCATCTTTCAACATATTCTCTATCCGCGAGCCTAAAGCTTCTCATCATGGAAAACCCAACGGCCGAAATCCATGGCATTGTCCAAGCGCTCTGCACCGAGAGTTTGGCTGACCAGCAGAATGCCCTCGACCAGTACTTCACTCCAGACGCCTTCTTCATCCACCCGCTATGCCGAGTGCCCTCATTCTCCACTAGAGCTTTTGGCCATGAACTCAACTCGCGCTCTCTCCTCAGATACATCTTTCTGTGGTACCGTTTTCTCAGCCCCCACATTGATTTGACTGTCGATTCGGCCGTCATGGATACCAAGAATAGCCTGCTCTACCTCACCATTCGCCAGACCTTTACCTTGTGGTTCGTGCCTTTTAAGCTCTGGCAAGCTCACGTGAAGCTGGTCACGGTTCTGGCTCTCGTCAGACGCCCGGTCGACTCAAAAGGGTTTCCATCGACAGATGCGAATGGCGCTTTAGTGAACTCTGGCGGCCCGAGTGACAAGCAGCTCTGGTTCATCAAGGGTCAAGAAGACCACTACCAGATGGAGGAATGGCTGAAATTCATTGCGCCCTTTGGAGCCAGTCTGCTCTGGCAAGCCTGGCAGCTCTTTGCCACCTATCTGTGCTGGCTGGGTGTGGTCTGCTTGTGGCCATTTGCTGCTGCAGTCGGCCATCTTAATCGTGAGGGACTCGGACCGGGCAGCAAGAAGACGACCAAGAAGCAATAGAGTGCCGCCGGTCATCGTCTGCAAGCCAGTGCACGTCCTCATCACAATGCTCTCGGCAAGGCGTGAGACCATGATTCATCAAGGTAGACAAAGTTGTTCGGGCCGACGGTTTCCTCAAGGTATCTAATTTGGGCGGACCCTATCCAGCCCTACGAGACGACCACTATATGAATCGTAATTTTTCCCTGCTTTCCAACGAGACTTATGTTTCCCCATCTTGCTCTGCCAATACACCATGAGTAGAGACGAGAAAATGAACTTCAGGCATCCAGTCTCTGACCAGGGCGGTCCTAGCCGACTGGTCGACTCGTGCCCAACGAAACCCCTCCAAAGGATTTCCCATCAGCTACCCCAAGAGTTGAACTACCAGCCATGGAACGACGCGGAGAAGTATCGGCCATATCAGCTAGGATCAGGGATTTACCCTTACCCAAAACCGCAAGGCCCTGACAAAATCTATTGTCCAGTACCGCGCCGCGTGTCCGGGTCGTCCCCAAAGAAGAGAACTGGGACTGATACTGGCAGCGTGGAAGATAATGTCCATCATAGCAAACCTGTTGCCCAAGTTCTTGGAAGCCGCCTTCTGGACGGAGTACGTCAAGCTCTGGAACCCATCAATCCAGGGCACCGTGCTAAGCCCGGAAAACCTGCGAAGAAGTTCCCATCTCTACCCACGACGACTTTTGGTCCTACGTACCAGGTGGCCAACCTCGACTCGACACGCAAGAATCAGCAGGAGCCAAAAGTTCCCTTGCCCGAGGAACTTGAATCAGTCTCGGGTCTCTCGAATGATTTCATGGCGCGGCATAGAGAGCTCCGATTGTGCCACAACGGCGTACTTGAATCGACTGTCGAGTTTTATTATACTTGCTGGATCGACAAACCTTTCACAGCTGTCCTTGGTCACATCGAAAATGTGTACGGCCCCTCACGTCCTGTTCTAGACGGCATCGAGTATTGGAAAAATCAGTTTTCAAGAGCATTTCCCGCCTCCGTCCAGTACCTGATGAGAAATATTCTTATCAAGCTTCATGGGAAGTTCATGAGTCAAATCCATTCCCGGTGTATCCTTCAAAATGGATCCATGACCAACGTCAATGGAATTGCTGAGCCCTTGACGTCAAAAGCTTTCCTCCGGGTTTTCTTTCGCGAGTTCTTTGAAGACCTCTTCTCCCAGAGACTACCTGTTCTGTCTCAAATCCAAACACTCATCTGGGCTCATTACCCAACTCTCAATCCCGAGTTTCTTCCATATTCAGTACGCACTGCAATTGGCAATGTGATTTTTGAGCTGATGAACCAGTTGATCACTGTCAATGGTTGCTCTGTAATCAAGAGTCTGGTTGACGCTGCAAGCACTTTTGGGCTTCTCCAAGCCGGTATGTCAAGAGACTCAGAGACTCCAGCCTGCAATAAGGGTTCTGGCTGCTAACAATGTGAATCAGATAATGACACAGCCGACCAACTTTTGGCAGCAACCAGCAAAGACGCCAAACCTTGGACAATTTCCCTTCCAGGTTTTCACGTTTACTATCCACTGACGCCAAATTCGGGCCGTTGTAGTGACGGAGACACTGCTCGTACTGCTGGCTTGAAAGCCCGCAACGGAGTCAATGGCGACGTCAGGGATCACGAGGCACATTTAAAGAATGAGAAAACTGTGCATGCAGTCCTAGAGTCCATGTGTCTCAATCAAAAGAAGATTCTCGAGGAGCACGAGAAGAGATTCCAGGATCGAGTAAACGTATTCCAGAATCAAGTGAAGGAATTCAACAAGACGATGGAGCAAATTCTCAAGGACCGCTGTATGGAGGCAACAAACAACGAATCCACAACCGACGATGATGACTCCTGTTTTGTGGAACAAAAGAAGCAGATCGAAGACATTAAGAAGGCACTTGAAAAAGGCAAAGGGAAACCGTTGCCTGCGGTCAAAAGCCTCACCAAGACACCCCTCGGCCACGACTCTCAAGCATCCGGGACTGCGCAAACTGGTACCAGTACTAAAACCAGTGGAGAAAGCAATACGCAAGATTCGGATTTTGGGGTGACAGGATCTGCAGATTTCCAATCGGCACGGGGCACCACCAAGTCGTCAGTTTCTGCATCTGACAATGGCGGGACGAAAAGCAAAGACGACTCGCAATTCTCTAGCAGTCAGTCGGGCCCTTCAGAAAATTCAATCTCTAGGGTGTTTAATCGCATCCGCTCCATTCGCCGCCAGAATCAAAGAGCCAGAGATTATTCTGGATTAGAAGCGAATCAAACCATGTTTGGTGGCGTTTCGGAATGGAGGGACAGCAATGATGATGATGACTGGGGGTTATCGATGGATGAACATGCGTCAAATGACGAGGGCGAGAGTTTTGGAATGGGCACGAGATCAAAGGCATGATTGCAACATCTCCAGAAGCTGCCGAGGATTTCATTTGTCTAGACATTTGCAGCATTATGTGTGCCTTGCTAAATATTGAGTTGCATGCTTGTGGGAGGGAGAAATCGGAAATGACAAACTATTGGACGTTCCACAAACCAAGGAAACCGGAGGATAGTGATAACATCTCCGTAGACTTGTGGTTCTCAACTACTTTCATTATTCAAAGTTTGAGGCAACACAATGAAAGAAAACATGATCGACAGGCAACCTGTATCGTTTTACTTGAGGTGATGGATGATGGTGGAAACTTGATCTATAGCATCGCGGCTGTGTAAAACCATGCCCTTATCCCCATTGTTCCCGGATCCTTCGTCTTTCTGATCGCTCTCAACGTTTCCAACATTCATGATGAAGGGGACAACAAGATTTCTGAGACTATGCGTCTAATAATGTATTTTCATGTCATGAAGTTAATGTACATCTGTTACATTGACTCTTGGCACAGCTGACTGATACTTTGCATGACGTGTAGCCGAGGACTTTTCCCGTCCTCGAGTCGATGCTCATTTATGAAATGGTGAAATGGCTAATCGTGTTGGATACTGTTATGTCAACAATGTCTATCATGTCTGTCATGCTCTGCTGCACAATGCGGAGAGGGCATATTTCTTGCTGGGTAAGTCTCGCCTTTCTTTCCCCCTCCCATGATGCCTATTTTGATTGTAGCTCCATGTCTTTGTTTTCTTCGGCCCCGACACAGGCTTACCTATTTTAAAAGATGTAGATTAGTTCCATTTCAGAATCGATTTCAACATCAACCTCTTCCGCGAATCAGCTGGTTCGCATCCCAGAGGAGCACCCTCTCGTCCCAGCCCACGGTGGCGACCCAGCCGCCCACGCCAAAGAGACACCAGTCGACGCCCACGGCGAATTCCGTGTGCCGATTCATGACGCCGAGCTGCATACCAGCCCGGACGGGCGCACCGGGGGCATCTGGCCCCGCCCCCGCCATGGTGGACCCGTCAGTCCAGAGCCGGACCGTCATGTCGTAGCTGGCGCTGATGATGACGTCGCGGGCGTGCGGGCTCCAGGCCAGACGGCGCACGGCGTAGTCGTGGCCCAGCATGACCGAGGCCGGACCGGGCGTGGTGGTGCGGATATCAAAGGTGCGAATCGCGCGGTCCACGCCGCCCGTGGCCACGACGGCGTCATTGTACTTGTTCCAGTCGTGGGTCAGGACCTCGGAGGGCATGGCGGGCGGCGCGAGGCCCGGCGGCAGCGGCGTCGCCGGCGAGGCGTGTACGGGGATCTTGTTCACCAGATGGTACTGCGCGTTGATGGGTGTCCGCAGGTCAAAGATGCGCAGGTGCGAGTCGGTCGAGACAGCCGAGATGATGTTGGGGTTCGAAGGGCAGTACGAGGTGCTGTAGGTGCAGTTGCCCACGGGGAGGGTCTTGATGGAGTCTTTTCTTGCTGGGGACCACTGGGGGAAAGAAGAAATATCATGTCAGTCAAGTCACATGAGGAGAAGATTGATTGACATGGAAGCGCTCACAATCTTTATTGTGCCATCCCACGAGCTCGAGGCAAATGTATCCTTTGTAACCGGGCTCCAGGCCACTGAAAAAGTCTCTCGCTTGTGCTCGTGGAAATTCATGACGGGGAAATCGGCGACATTGGTGTCGTAGAGCTTGATGGAGCCATCACCGCAGGCCACCAACAGCTGGTTCTCGTTGAGTTCCGACCAAGCGAGATCATATTGGGCATCGTTTGTGTCGAATCTTTAATGAGAAGGCCAAGATCAGTCTTTCTTTTCTCTTTGTTCGATACGTGACACTATGTCCCAACATCTGACGTACGTCCTTTCCACCTGTATACCCTGAGGCCCCAATCCCAAACAGAACAGACGGCCGTTGCCCACGATGCCGTAGTTGGCGGCGGATGCGACTGCTATGCGCGAGTCAAAGTAAGGCGAGTACTTGACGGCGTAGGGGTTGAAGCCGGCCGTCCGGAACTCCAGCATAGGCGCCTCCATGATTGGGGGCGCTCAATCAATAATTAGTACATGGAGTTGAGAAGGGAAAACGTTGAGGCTTTGCGTGTGAAGAAGGAGAAGAAGGGAAAAGAAGGTCGCGATCTCGGCACATGTCGAGAATAGACCTAACCTAGTAACTTCCTCTGCTGCCCCCATGGGCACACCTTTTGGCGGACTGAACTAAAGGCGGGGCCTCGGTTACTTGCGATTGCTACGACCGGGGTTCAGCCCACCTCAACGGCTTAGTGCTTCCAGCTGTCCAGGCAGTCGAGCAAAAGTGTACGAGTTACAGCGCGGAACTCATCCGCTAGGTATACTACTAACCTTAGCTTGCTTCTTTAGAATGTCGAGGCCGTCATTCTTCATTGGACGCCCTTCTGCCTTGCCAAAAGTCTGATGTCTGAGTCAAACTTGTAAAATCCACTCTCCAATATCTTGATACTCAGTGATAAACAACAATACCCTATGTCCATCAATCTTGCTTTCTCAAGACACTCAACCACTCGTAATGGGCAACATTGGAAGCACTCGTCATCAGGGCATAGTGGCTGTTTCTCGGCATCATCATGGAGGCTTGGCTCAAGGGCAAGAAACGGAAATCCGAAACGCCAGCAGACGCGATACAGGATGACGACAGCGAGTCGACAGACGTCAAGCTGGCCATTTTAGCATCTCTGCATCCCAACGTGGGTCAAGAGGCGTTGCTCGACTGTTTGCTTGAGCACGATGGGTCCATCGAAGCCGCTTCAGGAGCCCTGAGCATTTTGGATATCCCAAAGGAGGAAAAGAAGCTTCGAAATCCGGCTGTAATTGGCTCACAAACATCGCTCAAGTTCTTTACAGGAAACTCGGCTGGCACTGGTGATGCTTTGTCGCCAAAGAAGCCCAGACTCATGTCCAAGAAGGGAACAACGCTCCACTTGTACGATCCCGAAGATATCGCCGAGCACACGCCATGTAGCATCGTTCATAACTTTCTTCCGGCAGATATGGCAAATGATCTTCTTAGGGAAATGCTGGAAGAGTCCAAGACTTTTGAAAAGATAACCTTTAAACTTTTCGACAATGTTGTGCAAAGTCCTCATACTTCGACATTCTATGTTGAGACGGACGAGGAGCTAAGCATACAAAAACATGAATACTTTTACAACGGCGCAAGACTGACAGTTAGTGAATCCCCTCACCAAGTCTCTGAGTTGATATTATCTTCCAAAAGCAAAAGTAGACCAAGGAAAAGAGATGAGGCTGAAACTATCACCGCAGGATGTCCGCAAGATTACTCCCCAGTTGCTTCGCGTCAAGCCCCTGGTACAGGAGAGTGTGAACCGAGAAATCGAGAAGCGCATCAATACCGTGTACCCCCGAGGCGAAAAGCTCAGATTTCAATCGTCTGATCCCTGGAAGCCAAATGCTGCCTTCGTCAACTGTTATGCCGGACCGCAGGAGAATGTTGGCTACCACAGCGATCAGCTCACCTACTTGGGCCCGCGAGCCGTCATCGGTTCTCTCTCCCTTGGAGTGGCCCGGGAGTTTCGTGTCCGGAGAATCGTGCCCAAAGATGCAGATGAAAAATCTGCAGAAACTCCCGACCTTGAAGGACAGATTGCCATCCATCTGCCTCACAACTCGCTGCTCGTCATGCACGCCGAGATGCAGGAAGAATGGAAGCATTCCATCGCTCCCGCCCAGGTCATTGATCCGCACCCAATCGCTGGCAATAGAAGAATAAACGTCACGTATCGGGACTACAAAGCCAATCTGCATCCCAAGCTCACTCCAAAGTGCAAATGCGGCATTCCAGCCGTCTTGAAAGTGGTTCAGAGAAGAAAGGAAAACCATTCGAGGTACTTTTGGATGTGTCATGGTGGTTACGTTCCGGGCAAGGAAAAGTGTGGCTTCTTCCAGTGGGCGGATTTCGATGACGACGGGAATCCAAGCTGGGATCGTGCGAGGTACAGGAAGGGAACGTCTCATTTGCCCGTTTGTGAACGCAATGAGCCAGGAGATGCAGATAGTCTTGGGGAGTGAGGAAAAGAAGAATCATATCATCCCGAGATGCGAGAGTGGGAGATTAATCTCATCAAAACCAGCAACCATGCCACAAATGCGACTTGCTTATACGAACGAATAGCAAGTGCAGTTCGGCTACAGGGATCGATCCTAAAGCCGTATTCACAAGCGACTTGAAGCACCACACAGCCTTGTATCTCCTTGACTACTGATGCATGCACAATTGGGAGCTGCGACATATTCTGTACACTTGTCTCGAGCTTCGCAAGTCTCGTCAGCCAAAGCTCTCAAAATCCTGCTTTCTGTAGCTTTGCCGTCAATGCCATCGTGATGGGTTTCAAGCAACGCACCCCACCGGATCATTTGGATTCTGAAGGGATAGATGGCCCTATGTTTCGGGCTTGGCACTGGTCTTATACGTGGATTTATATCCATCGGAGAACCAACGGAACAGCAATGACTTCCCCACCGGGGCTTGGAACAACATTTTAGGACCGCGTTGATATTAAGTAGGAAACCAACTTCAAGAGTATAAAAGGAGGAATGATGCCTTGCCTTTTGGTGTAATGAAGCGCTCAACATATATGTTTGTCAACTCTGACTGAATTGCACACAATTCCATCATAATGTTCAGTAATTCCGTTGTTGGGCTTGCATTGCTGCTGCGAGTAGCCCCTTCCGTGGCAACTCCAGCCTCGAATATCTCGCCCCGAGATATCGTTGGCACCGCTACTATCAGTCTTGCCATGCCATCCAACACACCAAGCCATCTCGCTTCCGGCTTCATCTACGGGCTACCAGACAGTGCCGATGGATCTGCCAATTTCAGTATTCCTGATCCATTAGTCAAGGGTATGGGCTTCAATTACAATCGTGCGGGTGGTGCCCAGATTACTAGCCTCGGCTGGATTGCTGGCGAATTCGAGGTAAGCATTTCAGGATTAATCTTTGCATACACAAAGTTGATAGTCCCAGGGACGGTTCCTGTCTGCATTGTCCAACTACCGCACGACCCGGACCTATGGGGGTCCATTCCAACTACTTGTGCATGACCTATGGGGTGCGGATGGCCTCCAGGGAAGCGATGCTGTATGGCCAGGCGACGATGGAGATTGGACCAACTTTGACGCCTTTCTAGACACACTCATCTCGGAAATCATTGCCAATGATATGATGGAAGGGCTCGAGATTGATATTTGGAATGAACCTGACGGCACAAACTTTTGGGGCACTTCACAGAACCAATATCTAGAGATGTGGAAACACTCTTATCAGAGATTCCGGTAAGCTACTACTTTTGCACACTGCGGAGTCGGATCCCAGAACCGAACCTCTCCTTATTCGCCTTCTGTGGTGGGCGTGAGATTGCTAATAAGAAATTACAGAGCTGAGCTACCAGACGTACTTCTGGTCGGGCCTTCCACGGCCTTCTCGCCAACTGCAGAAAGTGATTGGTGGCACAATTTCGCTGCCTTCATCTCGCAAGAAGATTGCGTGCCTGATATATACAGTTACCATCTTCTTGACCCTAACGCCAATCTGCGCGTTACTTTTGATGTTCTCAATGGATTTCGTCAAACCTATGGGCTCCCAGAAAGGCCCCTCGTGATCAACGAGTATGGAAGTCTAGACGGTGAACAGACGCCAGCAGGTGCTGCCTGGTACATTGGTCAATTTGAACGATACAATGTTGCTGGTCTTCGAGCAAACTGGGCCGGCGGGTATGAGCTTCACGACTTCCTTGCCAATCTCTTGGGCAAAGGCAATAAAGGATACTTTCCTGTTGGTGAATGGCAGGTATACAACTATTATACCATGAATATGACAGGTCAAAGGGTCGCCACGAGTTCATCCGCCGACGATGTTTTCGAAGTCTTTGCGACCCATGAAGACCGTGCCGATTCCGTCAAGATCCTGGCGGCGGTCCGACCCGTCGCCGGCATTCAGTCGTATGACATAACAGTCACCGGCCTCTCCACGCTCGGGATACAAGACTCGGTCAAGGTGCAGACGCATCGCTACGACGATGCTGGCTGGCGTACAGAAGTTGACGCGCCAGTGGATCTGGGAATTGTTGAGCATTCAGTCGTGAATGATCAGGTATACTCCAAATACATCTATTGTAAGACCTTTCTCTGATGGAGGATGCTAATTCATGCATTAGATTACATTCTGGGTCACGCCAGAGACCTCAAGCACTGCATACACCTTTCAGTTTGTATAGAGATTATTTGTACTGGTGTTGGTGAGGCAGCAAAATTGATCTCCGATCCTTTGAATGCACCATGCCGTGATAGGAAACACTCCCCTGGGGAGTGTTTCCTAATACAGCACAATGATCTCACTTATAAGGTGCGTCACGGATAGCTTTGCCAACAGACCCGAATACAAAATATGAAATATACCAGCAGATTAAATGAATTTCGAAAAGAAAGGACAATGTGATGCAGGCCCCTAGGCTCAAGTCGATGGTCATGATGGCTATTATGGTGAACTCTTATAAAGGTGGCTATGGCAAGTTGACGTGAATTTTGCTTGTGAGACTTTTGTACAGTGGTGGAGCGCATGCTGCAAGAAGATTAGTAAGATTGCCAAAATAGACAATAGAAAATTGATTCTAATTCATGCTCGATGTACATCGCAGTACGAGTATCTTATACGTAGAGAATCAACAATAGGTTTGAGTGTACCGTATCACTTCTTCCATAGTACAAGGATCCTGCGTCGCATTTGAAAATCATAATGAACCATAGTGAGCGGTGGTTTTCCTAGATATATTTCACTTGGTGCCAATTGAGGCAAGGCTCAGGGACCCTTACAAGAAGGAGTTCAGTATACTCGTGAAAGCCAGGGATTACCTGGTCGCAGGCAGCTGCCAAAAATGCGCTACCAACTACCAAAATTAGTGAACGTTGCCCAAAGGGGAAACACATGGTTCATAGAACAGCACGTCCTCAACATATCCCTTTATTGGCCTACAAAGAGTTGATATAGAGAATACAAGTAGCCATTTCCCTCAAGTAGTGACAGTTGGCTACGGTCATCGCATGCTTAACTATTCAGCTTAATAAGGCGATAAAAAGCTGCTTTTAATGTAAGCCTCACCACTTTTTTTTTTTTTTCCTTTAGTCCTTGGCTGTGGTATCGCTTTGCTCTTTAGGTCACCGGAGTCAAAACACCTCTTGTAGTCTCTTGGAGTCTCCTGATTTCCTCTGGTCGGTCTTTGGACTGAGTCCTTGCGTGTTGGGTAGTCTGGGCCCGTTATAGAGAAACCACGCCCTTGGCTGTGACCATTTCGCAATCAATTGTCTTGGCGCTGTCAGCGATTTCAAGTTCATAAATGCAAAACTAGTGAGTTTACCACTCCATACGAGACCGTCTTATCCATACTCAGCTACAAGCAATCCAGTGTGTCGTTGAATTGTGTTTCTATGTCGAAACCGCGCTCATTTGGCAATCTGCGAGATGCTTCTCAGCGCCTTCACAATTACCAACAGGGCTTAGCGTGCGACTTGGCATGGCTCGGAAGATACCAAGAGTCGAGCGACGCCGACCCTGCAGAGGATTTTTCCAGTGTATTCAGCACACAGACGAGACTTCATGCGAATAGCATCCAATCAATGGAAATCGCAAGATACAGACTACCCATGATATGCAGGGTATCCGTGTAGCGCACAAATTGCTGGCGAGCGCCGAGCCATAAAATATTCTACAAAGCTATATAGACTTAAGACGTCAGTCAGAGTCGTACCACTAAAGCACACCGGATTGAGATGTCGATACATTCTCACATTTCACAGTCACCCAGGGGCAAGAACATAATTTAATCATGGTTTCCTATCCAGTTCTTAGCAGCTCCCGGGGGGCAGAGGGCGGAGACGACCGGGGAAAGCAAGCAGTAGACGGACGCCTTTACTGGCTGGCTGTCAAATACCTTATCTAGCTAGGTATTCTTCCCAAAGGTCCTCCTACATGCATCAAAGAGTAACCGAGCAACGATCGAGCGCCCCACAAATATCGAGGACGCAAAAATCGAAACTCGAGTGACCCACAAATATCAAAAATGCACGAAG